CCTAATCTGAAAACCCTAACCCTAACCCTAAGCCTGAGAAACCTTAACCTAGACCTAGGGAACCCTAGTTCTAAACCATCCTTAGGGCACAACAACCCTTTTCAACCAGAGATTGTCTGATTAACATCTGAATCACAGAGGTAAAGAAGACGTTGGTTCTGATACGGGCGAGCCCTCGAAGGCTCGGGAGTCCCAGGCCATTCGCCCTGGTTTGGTATTATTCTCTTACCCTTTCTTTCTTCTTCTTCTTACTATTTTGATTTTATTTTGATTAGTTTTGGTCAATTTGCTGCTTTGAATTTGTGTTTTAATGCTTTAGATCATGTTGCTCTGCCACAGATTTGAGATCAGATAGGCTCGTTTCCAGGGTAGATCTGGCCTTAGATCTGAATTTGATTTGTCCCACTTTCTCTACCTCATTATTTTTATCAGTTTAGGGTGTCATAATCCGAGAGATCTTTGTCGGAAGATCTGCCCGATTTTCATCATAAACAAGGGAATCAAAGAAAATGTCAGGTTCAAGAATTTAAAAATGAAAACCTCTGAAGTTAAGTGGCATAGCCAGAAAATCCAACTTGAGTTCCAAGGTTGTGTAACTCATCGAAATAGCTCACATCGAAAACCCTAGAATGAAAATGTCCTAGGTGGTGAGCGGGGAGCACAATGCCTTGGAGGGAAAGTTGATGTGCCATCTGACCACATGACATCATGTAAATTTAAAATGTCAGCAGTGTCTACTTCTTTGACATTCATATGTCCCTCGAAGGGCATGGAGTACCAAAGAGGAGCAACTGCAGGCACCCCATTTTGTGAAGTGGCAAATTCGATGGTTTTCTAACCATAAACATCCTTAGGACTACACTGTCACAATAAACCCCCAGACCATAGACCACCATAGTCCATACTGCCTACCCTGTGATCTAGAATCCTGCAAAACATCCTGGTTTTGTAAAAATATTATTAAAATAACAAAACACCTCATTTTGACCCAAATTTTGGCAGGCAACATCATAAGAGCTCGTAGATCCCCACAGAATTGGAAGCTACCGATGCTGAGAAGATTTGGTTTGGGTGACATCAGTGGTGTCCCATAGCTTAAACTAGTCCAAATCGGTTGATTTTTTTGCAGGAAGTAACCCAATAGCCCCAAAATCAACCCAGACAAGAATCTACCAATTCCGGGCAGATTTGGACTAAGTGTCACCAGTGCTGTCGCCCAGCCTAAACTAGCCCAAATCGGCTTATTTTTTGGTAGGCAGCATCCCAACAGCCCCAAAATGAGACTAGACAAGAATTTGCCAATTCCGGACATATGTGGTATGGGCAGCGACACAACAGGTGTCGCCCAACCTAGACTGACCCAAATCGGCTAATTTTTTGTAAGCACCATCCTAATAGCCCAAAAAACACCCCAGACTAGAATTTGACAATTTTGAGTAGATTTAGCAGTTTCTGCATGACAACCCCTCTCGAATCATTTTTGGTGAGGTTCGTTGAACCTAAACCATTTTGGTTTAGGCGACACTACCAGTGTAGTCCAAGCCTTGGACCACCAAAATGGCAGTGCAGGTTGGGAAATTTTTGGTTCTGGTTTGTTACCCATTCCAGATGATTTTCAACCTATAAAAAAATTATTTCGGGGGTTAGACCTTATTAGCTTGTGTTCTTAGAGAAAACCTTGAGATTGTGAGACCTAAGAAAAACCTAGATCTAGGAAGACTTGAGCTTTAAGTCATTAAACCTACAACCCTTAGGTTAAGAATGACATCCAACCAAGCCAAGGCATGGTCAAAACCTGAAGAGAGCTAAAGAGGATGCACAACATAAACTCAGCCGCTCCTGATATGGGCGAGGCCTGGAAGCCTTGGTGTCCGGGGGCAACTGGCCCGGTCTGGTATTTTCTTATTCTTTCTGTATTTCTTGTCTTTTATTTTTATTTTTGTTAGAATTAAATAATTTTTACTACATTTTATATTGTATTTCGTATTTTGGATCATTGTTGGCTTTGCCACTGATCTGAGAGTAGATCTGCTCATTTCTGAGTAAATCAGGATTTAGATCAGAATTTGATTGTCCCTAAATCAGAATTTGATTGTCCCCACTCTCTATCACTCTTAAAAAATTGAGTTTGTGGTGTTCAGATCTGAGGGATCTTCAGTCGAAGATCTCCCCGATTTGTACTGCAAACAACTCCAAGAAGAATCAATAGGTGAAGTTGTAGTTCAACCATTATTTTTTATTTGTGGGGTTCAATTGATTTTAATTAATTTAAAAAATATTGCTCGACTTACAAAATTGGAATCATGATTTTCTAAACTAGTTCTAAATAAATTTAATATTTCATTTATTTTTTTAAAATAAAATTTACACAAATTGAGCGAATATCACAACACAATGACACATTGTACTACTGTAAAATTAATTAAAGTCAAATCTACAATTTAGTCTATCAAAACTATAATAAAGAACTTCTTTTTTTCAACTTCTAGACCATGCAACACACATGACTATTTAAACTCCATAATGAAGCAATATATTCAGTTTAAATAAATTTTACATTCATATTAACTTTTTAAAAATAAATTTACACGAGTTCAGTGGGTAGCATACCATAGTGCACCCATAAAAATGATATATTGCACTATTCTGAATAGTATTTTACTTAATATTATTGAAAAACTTAACACCAATCTTTGCCGGGTATCCAAATGGAGTTGACGATCCCATGTTCAATAATAATTGAGGTTTTGTGGATGAGCCGAACTTCGATAAAAAAAGATAGTTTCCAAGGAGAATCAATGGGTTAAGCTGTAGTTCGACCATCATTTTCATTTATGTGATTTATATGCGGTTAATTGATTCTAATTAATTTTATACTTTTTATTTATTATATAATAAACTTTATTTAAATCAATAGAATGTATAATTCAACATAAAAATTATTGTGTTGTAAATTATATCTGTATAAGATTGTTAATTTATTTATCTTTAATAAATTTAACTGAAATATATCTATAAATTAAAATTATTTAATTTGTTAAGTTATTAATTATAACTTATAAATATATATAACCTATAAAGTGATACATATGCATTCATAACTTATATTATAACTAATACCTTTTAAAAGTTGAATAATAAATCCAATTGACTGAAAAAACATAACATTAATAACATACAAACCTACAATATAGTCATACATGACCACTATAAAAAAACTTCTATTTTTTTCTATTACACAATTAAAGCGTAAAGTCCCCATGTTTAATACATATGCCCTTTTAAAATCTATGATGAAATAATATATCCAATTCAAATAAATTCTTCATTCATTTTGACTTCTTTGGAATAAGTAACATAAGCTGAGCATGTAGCACAACACAATGTCAACATAAAAATAATACATTATACTACTATAAAATTAATTAAAAATAAAATAACAATATAGTCTAACAATACCATAGTAAGAACTTCCTGTTTACAACTTCTCAGCTATCCAACGCACATGCTCCTTTGAACTTTATAATGAAACAATCATTTTAACTTCTTTAAAATAAATTTCACACAAGTTGAATGGGCAGCAAAACATAGGCACATGAGTAGTTTACTTGAGATTAATACTACTTTAAAATAATTTTAACACAAATTGAACTAGTAACACAACACATCACCACCATAAAAATGACAAGTCGCACTATCCTAAACAGTAATTTACTTAAGATTGATTTTAAAACCTATTTTTTTAGTAGAAATTATATTGAATTGATTAGCTATGCACTGCTTAGTGACTAATTCATTGATATACAACTATCTCCATTAGTTTTCATACATAGAAAATACCGGTCCACAAAATTCTATTAATATACTCTACGAAGTTTTTTCACTTAAAAAATCTCTAAATAAGACCATAAAGCATGATTAGTTATAAAGAAGAGGAAAATTACACATATATTTGTTACATTTTACGTTATTATAGATGTACCGAATAGTTTCTGTTATTACATGTCTGTCTTTTTTTTGCTTTTCATAACGCAAATTTTTTAAAAAGACGACTTTACCTTTTTTGGGTGTTGAACAACAGAATTGAAAGGACCGAAAATACGTTGAATTCAGATGTTGAACATTCGAAATTTCTTGATTTTAGGTTTTTGATTAACTGATAATTTTCGCATTAAAATTTCTCGCTTCTTAGCGGAATATATATATATATATATATATTATAAGTTTGGGGGAAAACGAATTTAATAAGAATTTACAGAAGCATAATTTAATACTTTAGAGATCTATCAACATGATTTACAATATCAGTCACATTTCATAAAGCTTGCATTGCCAACATCCGAAAATATTGAAAATGTGACATTTTTGGATGTCCAACATCTGAAACCATTTTTGGATGTTCAATATTCGAAAATATGACTGCGAAATTCCAGAGACCTTCTGAAATTTGGTAGTCACATTTTCAGATATTGAATATCCGAAAATGGGAATATAAACGTTAAACTTTCGAGCTATTTTCGGATGTTGAACATTCAAAAAACCTTTCAATTCGGTTGTTCGACACCCGAAAAAAGGTAAAGTCGCATTTTTTTTTAAAATAACGTTATAAAAGATCAAAAACAGATAACAGAAACAATTTGGTACATCCGTAATAACGTAAAGTATAACGGTTATATAGGTAAATTTCTCAAAAAATATTTAGAGAGAGGAATCCGAATACGGAGATATTTCCTTTTAGAGAATATCGGCCGTCCATTCCGGTCTTTATCGGCAGGATCAGAGTTTGATGCAAGCGACAAGCGTGAGACGAAAGCAAATCCGGAACATGCACCGAAACATGAAGTGGATTACACGCCAAGAGAGGGAGAGAGTGTGCGCTGGAGAGAGAAACAGATGCAGTAATAGATAGAAGGCAACGTGCAGGAGAGAGAGAGAGAGAGCGATGCAGTAATAGATGGAAGGCAAAGTGCAAAGCTAGGTATGCAGAAGTACATGCCTTTCATTTTGCAACTCACTTTTCTTTTCGTGGTTTGATATCAAAGGAGAATAGAGAGAGTTCCAGTCCTCAGTTTTCAGGCCCTTGTATAGAAACTCGACTTTTTTGCTTATTTTTATTTTTCAGTGATTCAAAAGTGTAGCTACAGTGCTCAAAGAAAGTGAATCCAATCTGTTTCATCTGAGAGAATTTAGAATGATTTCATCTCATCTGAGAGAATTTACAGTGGTATGAGGATGCCTAATGAATAATGGGGGAAATCAAGGAATTAAGAAAACCGAGAAATCAAATTCGGAATGGACATTTGTTGGTTGTTGTATTTTTCTGCTATTTTTTGGTGGGCAAGAAGATCCATTTTCTACTCCTTTATCTTGTATTTTAATGTTAGTTTAAGAGACACCAGAAATCTTTCAAACGGAGCATCATTTCCATGTTTCTATGCCAGCGTCTGCATACTTAATAGTGGGTAATGCAGCTTATATTGCATAAATTTTTCGTTTATTCTTAATGTTAAATATTTTTTCTCACCCAATAACTTTTTCTGTTAAAGTCCTCTATAACTCGCAGGTATTTAAGATTTAGGCTGCATTCCTTAATATTTCATATTCTTCTGTCTTTGTGAGCTTCCTGGTTGTATCTAATGCCCTGGAATTTTGGTTTAAATGGTTTCTTAACTAAATCTCAAATGTAGGCAGCCACTTCGGATTTTCCATGTTCTTTTAGTTTTGTTGTTGTTCTTGATTGGTTTGCATGTTACTGTGGGCAATGCATTTTTGTGTGATACGAATGGTGGTTATATTACCAGAGGGTGTCAAGGTCTATGTCATAGTCATTACCATTTTGCTGGTTGAAACTTGAAACCTCTAGCAATGATATAAGCCTCCGGCCTAGCATTTGAAAATAATCATCACAACGATTCTTCACCTTGTAAATCTATTGGAGCTCATAGAAAGAAATAAAAGAAAGGTTCCGTGCTTAGTTCCTTGAAGATCTTATACTTTATATTGCATCCTACTTCCAGCAATAATAATATTAGTCTCATGATGGAATTAATTAATGTGGTAAGAATGAATTGTTGCAAAAAAGGCCTTACTATGGTGAAAAGCTCAATATTTCTAATCATGGATCCAGCAAGGATAACAGTAGTCCCATGATGGAATTGATTCGTGAGGTCAGAATGAACTGTTGCAAAAAAGGGCCCTAGGTGAAAAGTTCATGTGTTTCTGATCATAGATGCAAAAAACAGCACGCATTCCACTTAAGGGCTTAAGTGCTTTACCTAGGCGTAGGCGGGCCTTCCTGGGGTCTACTTGGGTTGCCTAGATGGCACCTAGCCTAGGCACCCTCCTACTTCGCCCCTTTCTAAGGGTGCAAAATGCCCTTAGAAAGGTGCATTCGAGTCATTTTCCCCCTTTTTAAAGAGGAAAAAGTCCCCGCCCCCTATTTACAGCCTCGTTTCTGATGGCGATCATAAATGGTATTGAAACTGTGGATGGATAATATTGTTTGCTCCTCTGGTCACTTCTATTAAAGTTTGAGTCTTTAATTGCTTTTCAAATTACAAGATAAAGTTGATGCTTGACTACTATCATCTTTTGTCATTGTCAGAACTTTGGAAATAACAAGTTGGTAAGGGACTCCACATCGGTTTGTGATTTAAAGTCTATGATTGTTGATTCATGTATTTTTTTAAAGTGGTTTTCTACGTATTTAATATAAGAGGCTGAATTATGGCTGTGTTAGTCTTCTTTATTATTTTGCATATAACCAAGAAAGATTGTAAAAGCATAGAAAGCTTAGTTTAGGGCCATAAGATCTGTTAGCCTTGGTGATATCATAGCCCCATCACAGTCCTAAGCAGAACACTTAAATTGTATGCCCAGAGAATAGAGCTCCTGCAATCTACTCATGCAAGTACACAAAAGCTATGAGAAGATGCTTAGTTTTTAAATGCTTATTTGTTACATTTTCCTCTGTAGTCAAGATTGGATTTAGAAATATTAGAAAGCTCTGAGAATTGTCCAGTATTTATTGGTTCTGTTTACGTTTAAACAATATCTTGATGTGTTTCATTCTAGCTTCTAGCCGTTGTATTTATGCTGCTTCCTCTGCTTGAAATCATGATCTTGTACAGATTTCCATGCCGTCAAGCATTTATCTTTATTATTGTTGCCAGGTGGCACCTAGTGTGCCCAAGAGATGGAGCAATATGGTGGTGAGCAATTTCAATCTTACAATACTTGTTTTTCATCCTCATACGAAGCTGCAATGGAAGCACTTTCCTCTCTCATCTCTCGTAAACGTAGAGTTCGATCAAATAACGATGGGAAATACAATGATGAAAAGCTTAATTTTATATTGAAATATCTGAAGGTAAGCACTTTTTAGTATTCTTTTGATTTGTATGACAATATTTTTTTGAGAATGTTAACCATGTATGGCAATATTTCATGAAGCCTTTTCTTGTTTCTTCTCCTTTGTATTTTCGCTTATCTTTCTTGATTATAATTTCTCATGCAATTTTAGAAATCATGAAGTTATTGAAATACTATGTTACTTTCCTTTGTTTTTTGGATCTGGTACAATGAGAAAGAAGTTCTAGAACTTCCATTAGTTACATATTAAGTTATTAACTGCTATGGTATTGCAAACTTTCTGTTCTCTTTGTGGTAGATGGTACTAAATAATATCAGAAAGTGAACAAGGTACTTAAAAATTGTAAAATAAAAATTTGATTCTAAAGCTAGAATTTTGTGGTATTTATTCATTAGGAATTGTTTCGAAGTTTAGTTTTGTAGAGGAATTAGTGTCCTCGACATACGTCCATTTTTTAATTATGTACAGATCTTAATTAGGTCTAGACATTTTTTTGTAAGGATACCGAGCATGGAAAGGACAATTTTTGGATTGCAAGATCTGATAGTTCACTTCCCATTTTCTAGTCTAAAAGTTTTCAATTCTCATAAGTAGCCGGTTTGTTATAAAAAAAAATATGTACTTGGTTTTTGCTATTGGTCAAGTCGTTTTGCCATCCTTGTTCAATATAAGATATTTCTACTCTCACTGGTTGGTTAGATATTGAAAAAAAATGTCAGTAGTGTTCAAATGAACTATTAAATGTTCATATAATGGCAAGAACCTTTTTGATACTAGGTGTTATTTGGATCAATTGCCACCCAATAATAAAATGGCCCTTTTAGATTGTAGTTTTTCACAAATTAGCCATTACACTATCCCAACTAGGCAACTCTTCGCTCTAGAATAGCTAAATATGACTATTTATGAAAAATAAAAAATGAGGGAGGTGAATATGACTGGTTTTACTATGGGAAGTGCATCATCCTGCAGGCTTTTGTCTGGTCAGCTCAGGACCTTGAGTTACTTGTGAGGTGACTGTTTTTGTTATGTGTTGAATCCTTTCATGAGCACAACATAAAAAAGGGTGTGGACACTTCTTTTGTGGTTGTGATCATAGTGGAGAGCGGGTGGAGGATTTGAAAAATTGTTTACTGATTAATTCTAGTTCTAGCTTATAGATGATCACTGCCTAGGTTCAAAGTAGGGAGATTATACCCTTTTCCATCTTTCATTACAGCTAGGTGGTCGGCCCTCGAATCTCGTTTCAGCCAGGGACTCGGTGTGGGACCCAGCTCGGGATCACTTTCTCGGAAACCACGTGCGTGTGTGTGGCTAGAACCAACAAAAGAAAGATTTGGGGTGTGAGGTAGGACCTCCTCACGGGATGGGGTCGTGATACGCCCAGGCACTGAGCCCTCTTAGATCACAATGCGGAAAATCCCCTGCCGCTTAGCTTGGTTTGATTCTGGCTCTCTTGCACTGCGCTATGCACCTTGGCTCACACACTTTCAAATGGCTCAAAGAGGGTTGGTGACCCCTGGCTCGTCCTTGAGGTTAAAAGTGATGGTGTTGGGTTTGTGAGGTTTAAGGGTTAGAGGTCTAAGAAGAAGAAGAAGAATGATAGAAAAGAAGAAGAGGAAAGGCTACGAAGAAACTGGAGGAGGGCTAGAGATCACTCGTCAATCTGACGGCCTTCCGGTGTACCCTCCCCCTTGCGGTATTACCGGGGTCGACGGAAGAGTATTAGACCAAAGTCTAAATACCTTGAAGGATTCTTAAGGTCGCTATATTAGGGGACGAACCCATAGTAACATGCGCCTCTGAAGAGCCTCACAAAGAGTAATGAGTGATGAGTGGAGAAGTCAAAAGCGGTTGAGTCGAGAAAGAAAAAAAGAGAATTGAGGGGGGGGGGAAGAGGCAGAAGAGGGAGAGATAAGAGAGAAGGACAGACTTTTCGACACTCAGACAGCCTTCCGGCGTTACCTCCCTCAGGAGGTATTACCGAAATCGTCAAAAAGGGTATAAGGCTGAATCGTAGATACCCTAGAGGATTCTTAAGGTCGCTATATTAGGGAACGTACCCACAACAACATGCGCCTCAAAAGAGCCCCTCTTAATGCAGTAATCTGAGTGGGAGAAGTGGAATGAGAGATGGAAAGGAAGAAGAAAGAAGAAGAGAGAGTGAGCAAGGGAAGAAGAGAGAGAGTGGAGTAAGAGGAGAAGAGGGAGAATGAGAGAGAGGTAAGAGAGAAGAAGAGACTTCTCGACGCTCAGACAGCCTTTCGGCATTACCTCCCCTAGGAGGTATGTCACACCCCAAGTTTTATAATACTAAAATTCTTAGGATGTGACAGTTGTGGTGTTAACATGAAGGTATATAATATAAGTTGTGAATAGAAGTCTGAAAGTTTCTGAATGGAAAATTTGTTTTGGTGCAATATGTAGTCAAAAAATTTCGAATTTGTTTTATTCTTTATGAATAGACTGTCACATCTCAAGAA